AACATTTTTACCTCTTCTCCACTAAATTGCTCACATTAAAAAAAAATCCGAAAATAATGATAAAAACCACCAGTTAATGGATTCCGAAAGTGCCCCCGCACCGGCGTTTTATATTCTCCATCCCCAAACGACCCATAAACCCCTCTTATCAATACCCGATAAGAAATACATTTTTTTCACCTCAACAGACTGCCAATCATCCCTATCATGCCCCTGGTGATTTCATTGTCCTCACCGCAATCTCCGGTCATCTCGCGAGGGGTTGCTATCGTAAAAAAGAATGAAAAAAATCCGAGTGAAATATGCCCCCTCGAAAAAAAACAGGGGTTCCCTCGAAGCAGCGTCTGACTCGTACAAAGGAGTCCGGCGGAAGGGGGTTGGCATTCCAGGAGGGTACGTAATCTAATAACGAGGTTTTGTGATGCCGACGAGCGGCAGGGGGACTCACTCTCCCCACCTTTCATATCAATCCGTGCGGTGCAAAAGTTGTTTTGGCTCCTCTGTTGCAACTTTCTCCCCCGATTCAGCGCTGATGTGCCGGTGTTTTCCAGACAACTCGGGCGTTTTGACGGCATTGTGCATTAGCATCCCATTCAAACGCGGTAATCGAATCGCGCTGAGATACCGGGCCGGCCGATGTCGGGGGGGATTTGCGGTCGACTTCCGGCGCAGGGGGCGGAGGAATATCGAGTGGTTCTTGGGGACTTGAAACGGTTTCGCATAACCAAGTGGATGGTGCTTTCGTTATCTGGCGGTGGTGGTTATCCGGAAGCCAAGTGGTAGGAACAAAATACTTGACTCAAGTCAATGGACGGGGTTTGGTGGAACGAAAAAATTTCATTGAAAAACCCAGCGAATTCGCTAGAAAATTATATTGAATTTATTCGCAGCTCATCTGCGCGAAATGTTCAATGAAAAATGTAGATCCCGATTTTTCGGAGACTTCTTCCATTCAGAGCCATTCGTTGGCTCCCATTTTCTTGTCAAGTTTTTGCCAAATTTTTTAGATGAAAATAGAGGAAAAATAAAGTGGGAAAAATATGAAAAATCCTCGCGTATTTTGAAGAGACCGAATTCTGTGAATTGTTTCGTCTTTTTTGGGAAGTTATCCGGATCATGTTTTTTTTATATTGAGAGATAAAACCATTCCTCAGGATTATCGAAATGTGTTTGCTCGCATTGTGACGCCTCACCCGGCTGACCAAAATCTGCCGCTCGACAGATTTTTTTGGTCAAACATTTTCCGTCTCCCGCGGCAGCATCACCATTTATCACAGTCCCGTAATGCTCGTGTTATATTTTCGAGGAAGGGAAAGGGGGGGTGCAGGGGTCACACGCAAAAGGGGGATGGGGGTATCTCCGGTCGCCTTATCTACACAACCGTGCGGGCGTATGCTAAATTGAATATGAAATTATGCGGCTTATCGCGCACTCGGCTCATCGCCAGGGGGAGGCTACATGCGCGTATTTTATAAGCAAATTATTCTGTTAGAAAAAAAAGTCAATGTAATTATTTCGGGTTTGTTTGCTTTTCAAGTGGATATCTCGTGGGGATGATCTCAAATGAAAACGGATTATCATGAAAAAAAAATTATTTTTGACTATTGTTTTATTTTATCTGAAGCACCGATAGAATTTCATTCGCGTAACTGTCTAATTTGAAAGATTTTGGGGCATTTAGAGTTCAAAAGCCAACAATCGATTCGATTGTTACCAGAAAATATATTAGACTCGATGGAATTATTTGTGAACTCACCAGTTTTCACTTGATACTTCAGAGTGGTGGCGCAATCAAGCAGGAGCTGCTGAAGGGGTAGTCCAGTGTCGGGAATCTCGAGATCGAGGAGTTGCACCATCTCGGCCGGATGATGAAAATCAAGGATTTTTGCGTTCCGGTCGTTGGTGGATTTGATGAAGTCGAGTAGAATGTCCACGACTTTCATCAGGAACTCCTTTGTCGCGGGATATCCCTCCATGTTCTGGGGGAGGATATCTGAAAGCAGAAGGACATTCCAGATGTTTATTTTCGTTGGGAAAAATTGAGGGGAAAATGGCAGACTTGGAGGGAAGCATTACCGCATCATTTTCATTATTGACTATTCATGTTGACTAATAGTAATCACCTCAAGTGTATTCATGGCTTCCGGATGAATTGCGTGGGACGTCTGGACATTTTCTGATGATGCAGGATGAAATTTTGCGGAAGGACGACATTACGCGGAGCGGAGACGACATGCATCCGAAAATTAGGGCGACATTACGCGGAATGCGGACGACATGCATTCAAAAAAAATAGGGCGACATTGCGCGGATTCTAGACGACATACATCCGAAAATTCGGACATTACGCGGACTATTAGGGCGACATTACGCGGAGCGTAGACGACATGCACCCGAAAGCCATGAATGTTGATCATGATCCTCAGTGCGGAAATTCCACGACAACTTAATTCTCATCATTTGAGAGCGTACAAAGTCACTTGCAATTTTTAAAATGAGATTGTTTGAGGATAAGTGCGCATAATTGGTCCATTCACCAATTAAAAATCATCTTCCGCAAGTATATAATTCACAAATATGGCCACAATCCTCTTGATTTCCTCGCTGGCCTCATCCTCTTCTATAAATCATCGTAGCTCACTCGATGAAAACCATTGGAATGATTTCACCTCATCAAACAATTGAAAGTATAGACCTAAATTGACACACTCTCACTTGTTTGGTGGGATGACACCATCCTTAATCATCCCCGTCATTCTCCCATAATCCAGCGATCCATCTCGCCAACATGAGCCAGATTCGTCAGTATCTTCCTGAGGTCGTCCCAAAAAAGCGAAATAACAAAAGGCCGAGTAAAAAAGAAACAGAATCAAGACAAAATGCTCAAGAGGAGCGGGAGCAGTCTCCAGTCAGATTCCGGGGTAAATCCTCCTCGGATTAAGCTGTCCCTTTTTCACAGCCAAACTATAAAGTATCCGAGGAGTTGGTGTAGGCAGGCCTCCCTTCTCTCATGAGAGCTAGTCTCTTTTCCATTACCGCGATCCTCCGGATAAGCAACCACCGCATTCACGACGATGAAGGAGCGAAGAGGGAGCAACTGAATTGTGGGCTTCAACCGTAATTCAATCCACAGGGGAATTTCCGATGCCCTGAGAATTATCCTTATCACCCATAAACTTATCAAGAGGCTGTCTTGATTTTTCTTTGTATCTCTATTATTTTTTCAATGAATTGCATGAAAGAAATCTTTCAGCATTTCTATTCCCGGATTTTGGGCGAGTCATCTTATCAAATTCACCTGTTACAGTCTGATTATTTCGTTAATTTTTCAAAATGCATGTCTGCTGGATCGAAACATTTTATTTTTTAATAAAAACTGTAATTGAGATTGTGAAAAGAATTAGCCATGTTATTTATTTTTTTTCCTACATCACAAATGCACCCCAAACCCCTCGACAAATGTAATTACAGTGTTTTCCAGGGCGCAGTTATCCCACCACTAGTACCTCGGATTTATAAGCAGGATTAGAACCGAAATTTATGGTTACGGGCAGTATCTTTCCGGCCTTTCTCATAAAAAATATAAACACATGAAGAAATTTCATAGATACACCTAGTGAATTCACAAAAAAATTCTAGAGAGGTTTTCTATTGAATTTTTTACTTATTTCCGAAAAAAATTGAAAAACGGTTCAAGTTGATTTTGACTATTGGCCAGTTTTCAACGGATATCTCGGAATCTAGGGGAGATAGCAAAATTTTAGCTATAACCTTTTTTGCAGCCCTTACTTCGCTCTACAGAAAAGGTTATTACAACAATTTTGCTATCTCCCTTAGATTCAGAGATATTTCTCAAAAACTCAGACGAGATTTAAATCGACTTGAACGGTTTTATCGCTTCGCTGCTGATTTGACTTTAGAATTCCTCGTCACGTCACATGTGTCAATAGCATCAATATTTTGAGATTGATTTTATAAAATTTAAATAGTGCGGGGCGACGGGGCACGCACGCATCCGTTATCGTCTTGTGACACTTGTCAGCGAGCAAATATCAAAACACAAGGGGACTGTAAGTGTCCCAGGAAGAGTCGAAAAACCCTTTTTCACTCCCCTGTGGCGTGTAATCTGTTCTGAGCCACTCGAGCTACTTTGATGCTCAGTGCCTTCCGAGCCAAACCCAAAATCCTCAATTATTATGCACCCCAATCCTGCGGCACCCGACGGCCACGAATCCACCGGTTTAAATCAGGACAATATTGTCGTTGGATGGGACTCTGGGATTCGACGAAAATCTCATCACTACGGCTTTATTCAGTCACTTGGGTAGATGACAATTACTGATTCGATTACTCTTGGGGTTGGATTGTGTTGCGAACTATCGATTGAGGGGGGTTTCCGGTCTTTTTCCATTTTATTTTAGCTTTTTTTTAATTTTATCATTCAGTTTGGATTTAAGGGTGAAATAATTTTCTACTTTTGTAGTCCAACATCAGAGCTTTCATTGAGCCCCATTTGACCGGAAGTTTCCGGACATTTTATAACAATTTTATTATTTAAAATTACAGGTCTGAATTTGAATCTCAATATTGAACCGTTTAAAAACATTTTCTAAATCGGAAAAAAATTAGAATGTTTACTTTTGGAGGAAGATTGGTAGAATAATTTCAAAAGTGCAATTTTTGAGAATTATGAGCAATTTATATAAATAATTTATAAATAATTAATTTTCCACCACAAAAAAGATTTGTTTGGCAACTTTCATCAATAAAACAAATTGAAAATTCTTATGAATAAAAACGTAAAAAAAGGAAGCAGAAAATTTTAAAAAATTAATGGTTTAAAAAATTGACAATTTATCAAGAATTGTGTGACGTACAATTACAATGTAATATTAAATTGCTAGTTCCCCATTGTTAACGAATTTTATTAAATAATTTAATTCCGTTCATTTTTCCCTAAAACTTCTCAAAAACATTTGTTCTCCAAAAAATAATATGACAAGTTTCATCTCTATTTTCATTTAAAATAATAATGTTCATCAATAAAACAACGGAAGAATTCTAACAAATCTAAAAATAAAAAAAAGAAATGAAATATTGAAAAAAATAATGACTTAAAAAATTTAAAATTGATGAAAAATTGGCTGACACGACATTTTGCTGAACCACTCACCCGAATATTTGAGATTGCTGTGCTCCCTGCTCAGGGAGTAAGTGTTCTCGGAACTCATGAGTCTAGTTGGTGAATGGGTCCGCGCAAAGTTCTGCAAAGACAAACAGCCACCTTAATTTACCCATCAGGCAAAAAATCCGCTCATTCGTGCCGTACAAAAGTTAAAAAATCATCAATCGCAGGCGTGCGTAATCATGATATGCACAAAGAACATCAATAAAGAGAGGGAAAGTGATAATGAAATGACATGCGATGGCCTTACATATAAGTATTCCTTGATCGCGGTGATTTTAGTCCCGATCATTTGCACATTGTCCATGTCTCAGACGTTCTTCCCCTCGCCAGTCCCTACAACAGTCAACAATAACAGTGTGCTTCAGTTTTTTCGAGACTTCCGCAAGTGATTGCTTCACGAAACTTGGATTTTCTCATTTTTAGGTCGTCAGCAAGGGGTGGGTACGGCCACCGAAACATGGACAGCGTTATCAGGTTTTGGTTTTATTATCCTCCAGGATATGTCCCATGTTGACGAAGATTTGGATAAAGTTTTGTGAAGGAGATTATGTGCGAAAACTAGGGCATGACAGACATCAGAATTCAGTAGCGAAGTGGTAAAACGGTTTAAGTCGAGTTTTTGAGAAATATTTCCGAATCTAAGGGAGATAGCGAAATTTTTGTAACTACATTTGTTGTAGCTCTTAATTGCCTCTACAAGAAAGGTTATAATAAAAATTTTGCTATCTCCCTTAGATTCCGAGATATTTATTGAAATCTGGTCAATCGTCAAAATTGACTTGTACCCTTTTACCACTTCGCTACTGAATTCTAGGTGGAGGATGGAGAAGGAGATGATTTTGCGCGAAATTTAGTGCAAATGAACTAATCAAATAAAAATTCCAGTTGTTTATTCTCTGCTCAAACAATAATTTTTTAGACATTTTTGTGCATATTCACCCGAATAATTCTATTAATGAATGTAAAAATCACATTCTGTTCGATTAGAAAGCGTTTTAGGGATATCTTAGAGCCACAGTTTCATCTCAGTTACATCTTTCGATCGAAACGATTGTGATGAAAATATTTATTCATCTCGGATTAAATTCGGGGATAATAATTGAAAGAATAATGTGGTGTCGATGAATTTTCTCGCTCAATGTGAGAGAAGAGCTCGCAAAGTTCTTAACACTGTTTAAAAGTATTTTTCAGTGAAAAAAAAAAACATTTTTTCAGTGATTTTATCCTTGATTAAGTGCGACGCGCGTTTGTGGCTTATGAAGAGAAAATTAGGTCCGCGAATAATTGTTCAATCATGCGACTCTTGATGAGAGAAAAAATTCACTTGGTCATGAGCTAGATCCAGTGGCAATTGGTGCGTGCGTCATCATTTTATTATCCGATCATTCCTTTCCCATTCCGCAACCTTTTCTACTGTGCACTGGGCTCGTGGTGTTTCTACTGAATATCTTTACGTCGTTTTCATCAAGTCAGATAATTATTTGTGAAATAAAACATCGAAAGCCCATTCAAGTGGAGTGATTTTAGGGGTAAGTGTCGACGATAATTTTTACTTTAAAAAATGTATCTCAACATGTTTTTCCCAAAATTTATGATTTTCTGAATGAATGCACATGAAGTATCGTCACTTCACTGTTAATAATTAGGAGAATATTTTTGGACACCTTTTAAACCCTTCACTCATTGAAATTAACTCATAATCTTCACTTCACACAGGAACAACGAATTTCTGAACTTCGTAGACTTTTGGTGGACATTTTTCAGACACTAAAAAACGTTTGAATGAAATAAAAATTTATCTGAATTTCAAACGTGATTTAAGATGTTTCAGCACTTGTTCGTATAAAATTCAGACAAATTTTCATTTTATTCAGACGTTTTCTAGTGTCTGAAAAATGTCTACTAACGGCGTGTGAAATTCAGACATTTGTGTTTGCTGTGCACCTTCGATGAAGCCACACTGTTAGAAAAACATTGAAATTTCATGGAGACGTTTCAGATTTCGCAGAAAATTCAATGAAATTCCAAAATTTGATGAGAAGTCCCCAATTGATGGAATTTTCTAGGAAAAATTAATATTCAGTGCAAATCACGCTGAATTCTCAATTTATCGAAAATTCGAGAATATATTTGACAACATTTTTTATCAATTAACATTTCCACTGAAATTTTAAGGAATTTTGTAATTTAAAATTCATAATTTCATTGAAAAATCGGGGGAACTGCAAATTTCCATTTAATTATTCCGTGAAAATTAATGTAAAATCAGAAAAATTGAGAGCAATCTTTCCTTGAACTAAAAATTCCTCTGAATTTTCAGGGAATTTGACAGTGAATATTCATCTTCACTTGAAAATTCATGTAAATTATGGAATTTCCGTCTTCCTACCGCCAAAAAAAATTGGCCTTTCAGAGAAACATGAAATTCCACTGACTTTCTCCCCTCAAATCTCCTTCTAATTTTTTTTCCTGAAAATCCAGCCAAATTTTTTCAACAGTTGCACTCTTACAAAAACCTCGAAAACCTACGTTTTCGAGGAATATCTCCGAATCAACGGCAGATATCGAAATTTTCGTAAAAACATTTTCTGTAGCTCTCAACTCGGCCTCCAAAAAAGGTTATGATAAAAATTGTGCTATCCGCCTTGCATTCCTCGATATTCCCCGAAAACGGCCGCCTCGTTTCTCAATTCCCCAAAAATATAACTGAACTGAACTAAAGAACCGAAAAAATGAAAACAACGAGTCTGACAATCTCACCTGATGCGTTATCTCCGCTTGTGAGCGTGCAAAATATCGTTGGAGACGAGGGAGAACGACGGACGGGCGTCGGGGTGGTTATCACGGGACTGCGGAACTCGAACCTCGTCGGCTCTTGAGTCTCTCGGGCTGACTCGACCGGGCTTCTCCTCCTGGCTGACCCAGTTTCCGTTTCACTGACGGGGCGGGGGTGGCTCCTGAGGGGAGGTGAGGCGTGGCCGCCCGTCACTTGGTTACCGTAGGGTGGGTATACCACGTGGGCGAAATGCGGGCGTGTCGTAAGGTCCACCAATGGCACTCGTCGACTCGCGAGAATGCCGAGTGGAGGGGGCAAGCGGTGGTGCGAGATTTTCTTTTGATATCGCGGACGAAGCGCTGCCCGGAATGTGGTTATCCCGACGAATTTGGGTAAACCGAATGCCTAGAAATCTCACCATTATCACGGGAAAGCCTTGACTTCTCGACTCTTGCATATTTCATTGAGGTTTTTGACCGAAATCATTTGAATCAGGACGATACATTTTAGGGCATTAACGCGGGGGGTATCGATGGATTCAGTAGCTGAGGTTCAGTTTCAGGAGTTTAAATTGTTGCTGTAGGTCATGGGGTGGTGCATGCAGAAAAGTAGTCTAATTCGATTAAATGAAGTTTATTAGAAGCGAATGAATAATTTATGTGAAGGTAGAGGATTTATTTTATTGAAATGAAATTTAGTTTAAAAAATATTTCGAAAAAAACATTTTTCTGGACGTGGAAAAATAATGTGAATATTCGAATTGTAGTTAATTGAAATTTTGTTTTTAATGTTTATGCATTTTTCAGAATTTCTTAATGGATTCTCAATTTTATGACATTTTTTGTGTTATTTTTGGGGAAACTGTCGCATTTTTCAAAATCTTATGACGTTTTTTGTGACACAAATTCCGCGTGACCATCATATTCCATCTGAATGGCAGTGGCAACCTGATGCTACTCAAATTATTACTAAAAAAAAATCACGTCACATGATTCTCATATTTTTCTTATGACAAAGAAAAGTGATGATTATTTTCACATCGCTAATCCGTACTCCAATCTTAAAAATGCATCATTCGAAAGTTATGCCCCACTGCCCTCTGCAATCTCAGGCTACCGGAATCGTCGTCCAATCAAAATCCTCTTGAAGCAACAATCCATCTAAATCTAGGGCAATCATTGACCCGGAAATTTATCGGAATTGACACTTCTTTTAACCCGTCCCTGTCGATTCTCATGCGAGTGCTGTTCTATGACATTACTAACAGCCACCTGACGTTGCCTATTCAGAATAGAAGTTGTAGTAACTCTAATTACAATGAGATCAATTTTTGGGAACAATTTCCGACACATTTGACGTTTTGACATTGACTTTGTCCGGAAATTCATTAGTTACATCTAAAATGTGCAATGAACTTCGTAGTTCTTTCAGAAATGAAAACTATTTCATAGAATTTTCAGTATTAAATTTTCACGAGAATAATACTGAACTCAGTTGAAGGGAAACGGACTTATGAAGTTTGAAGTTTCAGCTAGAATTCAATTTAATTCAGATAATTTCCTACTTAGATAATTTTATGAGTTGAAACAATACGGAAATGTTCAAATAATTTAATATTAATAATCTGATTTTTTACAAATATGAAACTGCAAATTTACTACTAAATGAATAATTCAAATTTCTTGAAAGGGGATTTGCGATTACACAAATAATCATGAATCTTCCTACCTCGATTATTGATTGATAAAATAGTTGAAAATTTGAATATTTGAATGGATGGTACTTGAGTACTCGAAAAATTTTAAGAGTGATGTTATCTAATTGGTGGCTACAATATTTAATCGTAATAAAATATTACAATATGATAAATAAATTGTAATGTAATAATTAAAATGTATCGCTGCCCTAGAAAATCTGGACATGACAATCGGCTCCCGCACGATTCACCCCTTGAGAATAAATCGAAACGAGTGAATTCTCTCGGCGAACGGAATGAAAAAAATCCCCCGCGAAATAAAAACCGAAGGCAGTGCGATAAGAAACCAAAGGTGAAGCCCGTCAGGACTATTCTCCCGAGTTATGCAAAGTTGGAGGGAGTGAAACATGAAAGGAATAAATATAAATAAAAAACGACAAGTCGTGGAATGAGTAACGGAACTCCAGAATACACCGACGTGAAATCGTGTAACGAGCGTTCGTGGGCAATTCGAGTACAGTTGTTGGAAATTCAATTGTAAGTGTCCGCATCCAGCAGTTGGAAAATGTCGTGACGCTTGCGCATCGGTCGCCAGATGTAGGTGGTAGGTAGGTAGAGGAGAATGTGGGAAAGTGGTGAGGTGAAAAAAAAGTGCTACCTGGTAGGGTGAGGACAAAATGGACGTCCGCCAATGGGAACCCGAGGCAAAATGGCCGACCGGCAATTTAATCAATACAGTAGTCAACGTGGGCGCCCTCAGTTGGGTTTGAGGTCGCGGTCTGAAGCTACCAGGAACGTAACTAGTTGCTGGCGATGGATACATGCGGATACCTCTCGGGAAATATTCTGGGATCCACGACATTACGGACTCATACATTGTTTAATCACTGGGGGGCATCGAACACTGAGTGAATGGATGGGGGTTCAACTCCCGGTAAGGGGTTGCTGAACTCTCGCTGATCGGAATTCATTATTGATAAGTTTAAGCACTTTGATAATTTTTTTCTCCAGCGAATTTTCTGCTCTGGAAGTCGAACTCAGAGCTTTCATTTGAGCCGGATTTGGCACTAAGTTTCTGGACATTTTACGATGATTTAATTTACAGCAAAAATAAATTTTTCAGACACTAAAAAACGGCTGAATAAAATGAAAATTTGTCTCCATTTCAAACGAACTGGTGCCTAAACATCTTAATTCATGTTTGAAATGTAGAGAAATTTTCATTTTAGTCAGACGATTTTTAGTGTTTGAAAAATGTCTGCAAAACGTGTGTGAAATTCAGACTGAATTTGAATGTCGATATTGTACGGTTGGAAAATATTTTAAAACTCTGAAAAAAATTGAAAAGTTTACCTTTGGGAGAAGATTGATAGAATAATTGAAAAATTGAAATTTTTGAAATATTGAATTATCAGCACCGAAAATATCCTGTTCTTCAAGAAATTTTTCTGGAACTCAGAAGATAAATGTTTGAAATACTTTGGAATTGATATGGATAATAAATAGTTCTCTTAACAATCTCCTTATTTAATTAGTTAATTTTCCGATGACTCGATCCCCCGAAAGTTCTTTTCACCGTTCAGCAAAAATATTATCATCCAGAGGCTGTCGGTCACGTATCTTCCACCGCTGTGCACTCCGGTCATGGATCGATCCTCCGTAACCAATGAGAATTTCTCCTCAGGGTGTGTGAGGAAGAGCAACTGAAGGCGCAGTATGAGAGAAAGCTCTTTAAACTTTGCACTTGTCCGCTCCGCAGTCTCCTCTCTCTATTTACGGAATAAACTTAATATCGAGGTGACGTTCAACATCTCCCCAACTTCCATTCCTCCCCAGTTCTTCCGCACAACATCTCAAACGGATATTCAAGAAAACTGCCTCATACACTATTTTCCCATCGACCAAATTCTCCGGCCAACGAAAAACTTTTCCTCATCCTTCGCCGAAAGTTGAAGCCCCTCTGGACCCCCGCAAAATGATTAATAATGAAACTTCGGTTGATTTTTTGCGGAAGAAAATTAATTGCAGTCCTCTTTGATGTTGTCCGCAATAACTTTCCCCCGAGAAAATCGTAATATTAATTACCAACTTTTCCTCCCGCGATTACGTCCTTCGAAATGTTGCCCGGAGTTACATGCCATAGCCGTCATTCGTTTTATTCCATCTCTTGGAAAAGTTCCAACGAGTTTTTAAAATGAAAAACTTCTCCCTGATGTGCATTCCAAATGCATTACACTGTGACCCAGAAAGTAGAATCATGTTTATCTGCGAAACATTGTGATTAAACACAACAGCATTTCCCGGAGAGATCCGGCAAATTATTCGAGGTTTTGGAATTATGACAGCAATGTTGTTAGATATAATTACCCAGAGGAGATTATGAAAAGGTCACGAAATTGGTACAAAATGTATTGAACTTGATTTTACGTCGACTACTGAACGCCCGAATATTCGCGGGTCCAGCTTATGTAATAATTAGCGTTACGTCACGACATTAATTAAGAGTGGTGCACATGAACGCTGATTTAGTAAAACAATGACGGAAGTAAGTCGAACTCAGTTCATCATTCAGCTTCTTCACTTTTGTAAATAGATGAGGTGAGATTGGGATAAACCGGATACTTTTGACTGTTTTAAAATGTTAATGAGGGGTTGAAATGTTAATGGAATTCAATTTTTTTTTCAATACAAAAAACAATTCTTTCCCTTTGTGACGAGCCTCAATTCAGCTCGATTGATAAATTTGTTTCTGAGTTATGAATAATTTTTAAAAATGCTCAACATTGCAACAGTATTTTGGGGCATCGCAATGTCATTCTCATCAGTTTTATATTGTTCCATACGTTTTCTGTTTTGATTGTTCATTTTTTTTATTATTTAGCTCGTTATTTTGCAGGCTTCCAGCCTATCGTTAAAAGCAATCAATCAACGGAAGATCGTGAGTCCATATCAGCTGCCTCACCATTACCTTTACAACTGAACATATAATATTCACACAGAAAACAATATTTTTTAAAAGCTTTTCATCTATAATTCGATTCAATCAGCTGTAAGGTAGACGGCGGAGGATGGGAACACCTAGACCCACCATCCAGGTGAAGTCTAAACTTTTCGCAAGATGTTCCGCCTTCCTGAAGACAAGCCAACAGTATGAATCATATCCCGAATAGTGTGGCAACATCCGATAAATGATTCACCATGATTCAGAATAAATGAGACACAGAGGTCTGGAGACATTGATCAACGATGGAACAGTGGCAATGCCCCCGGACCATTCATCCTTCTCCACACATTTTGTTGAAGACACTATCTCCTTACCGAAAGGGGTTCTCTCTCCCAAGACTTCTCGAGTATTGATTTCCCATCGCTCTCAGATGACGCCCTGAAAACCAGACCGAGAGAATGTGTTGAGAAGG